GGGTGACATGGGCTGGGTGTCAGCTGGGGAGGGAACAGACCCCTCCAGAGCCCCCCAAAACCTACCCCACCCCTCCAGCACCTGCAGGGTGTCACTGGGAGCCAGGAGACAAATGATAGAAACAGCCGTGACCCCCCCACTCTGTCCACAGCCCCCAGAACCATCCTGCCCCTCCACCCCCCAGTACCGGGATGGAAAACTGCAGCTTTTTCCCCGTGGAAAAGTGTCTGATTTGGTCCCAAAATTGCTGCCAAAGGGCTGTGACAGTGGAGGGGGGCTGAAGTTATTGGGGGCTGTGCCCTCCCAGTCCCACTCCTCACCCCCCCCCATGGGGTTTCTGTCCTGGGGGCTTGGGATGCTTTGGGTTTGTTGGGTTTGGGGAGAAATCCTGTTCCAAACTTCTCCATTCTCGCTCGTCCCCTGCAGGGTGTGAGGCGGCCAGAGCAGCTCGGGAACGGAGCCTGAGGGGCTGTGCTGGGGCTGTGGGCAGTGAGCCTGGCTGGATTGCAGGTGTCCCCAGAGCTGCTCCATCCCTGCCCTCCTCACCTGCACAGCCAGGAGAACAAAAGGCTCCTGCCTTGGCAGAAGGGCAGGGAGGGCTCAGAGCAGCAGCAGGGGCTAAAGGGACTTGGGGAAACGAAGAGAATTTATTCTGCATGAAAATCTGCAAAGGGAGAAGTGAAAGATATCTGAGAAACTCCATCCGCCCTCGGGAACTGCGCCAGCGGGGGCTTCCCTCGGGCTCACAGCCCCCTGTGGGCATCTCCTGCTGGGCCGGGGGCTCCTGCAGGGCTGCAGGGGGGTCTCTGCTCCCCGGGGACCCCCACGGGCTGCCGGGGAATCTCCGGAGCCCCTCGTGCCCCTCCTTCCTCTCTGCAGGGCTGTTCCTCTCGCAGCCTCGGGCTCCCTTTTGCTGCGGGAAGTCCAATTCTGCCATCCCTGACTTTTCCCTTTTCATCCCTCAGGAGCCTCGTTCCTCCCCGACCCGTTCCAGGATGTCTCCAGAATCCCGGGAGCTGTTGGTGGCCTTGCCATGGCAACATTCGGTCCCGACATGTCGCGACAGAGGCTTCGGTCGCGCTGTCACCATCACATTGTGCCAGTCCCGGCCCTCGCAGCGCGGTGGCAGCAGCGACCTGCGCTGGGCTCTGAGCGCGGGATCCCGATCGCTGTCTCCGTTCCTGTCACCTCCCCAGGGTCCCCCCGGTGTGTCCCGGTCCCTCCCCAGGGTCCCCCCGGTGTGTCCCGGTCCCTCCCCAGGGTCCCCCCGGTGTGTCCCGGTCCCTCCCCAGGGTCCCCCCGGTGTGTCCCGGTCCCTCCCCAGGGTCCCCCCGGTGTGTCCCGGTCCCTCCCCAGGGTCCCCCCGGTGTGTCCCGGTCCCTCCCCAGGGTCCCCCCGGTGTGTCCCGGTCCCTCCCCAGGGTCCCCCCGGTGTGTCCCGGTCCCTCCCCAGGGTCCCCCCGGTGTGTCCCGGTCCCTCCCCAGGGTCCCCCCGGTGTGTCCCGGTCCCTCCCCAGGGTCCCCCCGGTGTGTCCCGGTCCCTCCCCAGGGTCCCCCCGGTGTGTCCCGGTCCCTCCCCAGGGTCCCCCCGGTGTGTCCCGGTCCCTCCCCAGGGTCCCCCCGGTGTGTCCCGGTCCCTCCCCAGGGTCCCCCCGGTGTGCCCCGGTCCCTCCACAAGGTCCCCCCGGTGTGTCCCGCTCAAATCCAGACAGAAGTTGTGGCCAGGACCCCTCCTGGCCCTGAGAGAGAAAAGAAACCAGAAAAGCTCTGGAAAAAAAAACCAAAAAAACCAGAAAAGCACTTTGAGGCAAAAATTCAGGCAAAAGAGTGTTATAGACACATATTCTATTGTTGGCTTTTCGCAAATATTATATGTATTATCCGATGTATTTTATATTATATGTATTTTTCTATGTATTATATATTACATGTATGATTATATGTATTATATATTTATTATATATTTGATTCTATGTATTATATATTATATGTATGATTATATGTATTATATATTTATTATATATTTGATTCTATGTATTATATATTATATGTATGATTATATGTTATATATTATATGTTTTGTTATATATATTATATTATATGTTTTGTTATATATATTATATTATATGTATTTTTATATGTATTATATATTATTTATATGTATTCTTTTATGTATTATATATGTTTGATTATATGTTATATATTATATGTTTTATTATATATATTATATATTATATGTATTTTTCTATGTATTATTCTATGTATTATATATTACATGTTTTATTATATATATTATACATTATATGTATTTTATATATATTATATATGTATTATTCTATGTATTATATATTACATGTTTTATTATAGATATTACATATTATATGTATTATTATATGTATTACATATTATATGTATTATATACTTATTATATGTATGATTATATGTATTATATATTATTATATGTATTATATATTATATGTATTATTAGATATATAAGGTTAGAAAACTTTGTTGTATTAGTGTGATTCCTTCTATTTCCGTTGTTGATGAAGCTTAGAAATGGATGTATAATATACAAATATATTGAGCTATGGCAAGGTATTGAAAAAAAACCAACTTTTGTTTGTATAACCTAAAGACTGAAAAAGATGGTCAGAGACCCCCCTCCATTCTTAAATTCTTTTATCCAGATGAGGACAGCAGTGACCAGAGCTCCGGGGGAGGGATTTATTATTAATTAACATTTCTGTTATCAGGGAATGTGAAACTCCGTGCAGCCATGGTGATTGATTTATTGGGAAGGGGGCGAGTCAAAAGCTAAACAAAGAAACATCCAGAACTTCACGTGAATGTTTGAATCGTGGATGAGAATTGATGAATATGCAGTAAAGTTGTGTTTTTAAGGGACAATCCTTTGTCAGTGAGGTGAGCTCTCTTGGCTGAATGCAGAGACACCCGGCCGTACCTGAACACTTTATTTTCATCTCCTAATTGTCTTTTCATTGAACTTTTAAATTCGATATAAAAACATATGAACCTCGTTTTTCACAGAGGAGTAACTGTTCTTTACTAGAGATAAATAGAACAGAACAACCCAAACCAGGAGCTTTCACCCCTCTCAGGGCTGTTTGTTGCCCTTGGCCGGGGTTTTGCTGGCCAAGGGCTCGGCAGGGGCAGAGGCTGCGGGGATTCGCGGTGGGGCAGGGGGGTGAGAGCTGCCCGGGGTGATCTGGTGGGGCAGGGGGGTCAGAGCTGCCCGGGGGGGTCAGAGCTGCCCGGGGTGATCCGGGTTGTCCCCAGGGCAGGGAAAGAAGGGAGCGCTCTCCCCGCCAGCCCCGCGGCCGGTGCCGGCCAGAAGCCCGGGGCTGGCTCAGCGGG